TTATGTTTGTTTTTTTTTTTTCTTAAATGATTTATTGTAAATTATGTGACAGTCCACATGGGAGAACATTAGTTTTACATTCTATCATATATCGTCTCATTGCCATGGTTACAATCCCCTCCATGCAATCCTTCCCCCGTGCCCCCCAGGTCTTCAGCACACAGTCGCTCTCCCTCTCTGGGTCTAGAGTCTCCAGCTGCTCCATCGCTCCACATCATCATATCTGGCTCCGTTTCAGGCATCACTGCTTCTCTGGGTAGGGTCCTGCTGTCTGCTCTTCTCCCTTGATGGTCCTAGGGACCTCTGCTCCTAGACTGAAAAGTTAATCACTCCCCTCCTTGCTATAAAATGTCTACCTTTACATTTCCAACCCTCACAATCAGTCCTGATAACAATTATTCACTATTGTATCACAAGAGACCCGTCTGCATTTCGTTGCATCAGCCCCACCTAGTCAGATTGAATACTACCTACTGGAGATTCTACCTTCCTCCAGGCCCTCTGGATCTAGGTTCCCTCTTAAAAGCTTGTAAGCCAGTCACTTCTTGCCTTTGTAGCCCCCCACCCCCCATTTTGGGTAGCCAATGTCCAAGTTGCCCTTCCCTGTCTACTCTGTGTGTGGAGGGGGTGAGAATGATGGAAATTACATTGTAATGAAATATAGCCATCTTCTCTGTGGACCCTTTTTTTTTTTTTTTAATTTTTTATTGTGGGTTGGGTGAAGGTTTACAGACAAGATCATCAGCTCTGTTTTCAGCAAAGCATTTGCCTTGTTTCATCTCAGTGACTACAATCCCCTCCCTGCAGCAACATTTATCCCGCTTCCTCCCTGTGGCTTCTCATTTACATTTTATATTTCATAAATGAGCAAGGCAAAAATATTTGATGTACACTTACAAAACAAAAATATATGTATTCATTGAGATATCCAAAGGACACGTTCTGGCAGCCAGCTTCCTGCCTGCAGGCACACAGACACCGTCTCTGCTGTCGCTGTTTTTCTAGGTAGGATCGCCCGCTCCACTCCTGCTCTTCCTTCCTGATGGTCCTGGGATCATCTACTCCTGAAACGAAAGATTACCTACTCCCTCATTTTAGTTATATGTCTCCTACAATTACAGTTGTGACAATCACAATTAATCTTGCTAACAGTTATTCACAATTGAAGTTGACCTGTTTTTTGACTACTTTGTACAACATGAGCGGAGTTGAATACAGATACAAACGTGGAATGGCTAGCCAGCTTATAAGACTAACCCAATGACTCTTCACGGAAAATTTATCCCTGCTGTGGAGTATCCCACTGTAAAAACAAACTTGATGGAGCACAGTTCTCCAGCACGCATGGTGTCGCTAGGATTCAGACTTGTTGTTGAGTCTCGAATTTACTCTGAATCCTGGCAACCCCGTGCATTTCAGAGACTCCATAGGGTTTTCAGTGGTTGGTGCTTTTGGAAGGTAGAGGGTCAGACCTTTCTCCCAAGGCTCTTCTGGGTGGACTCAAAACTTCAGCCTGTCCATGAGCATCCAAGTGTGTTAACCATTTGCTCCACCCTGGGACTCCAGCAATATAATAAGTTGAATCTGTTGTCCCCTGGGTGGATATTTGTGTTGTTCCTAATGTTTTTATTTAAGACTTTATGTTCCATGAATCAATATTGTACATGTTTTCTTGTGCACGTTTTCAGCCATCTCAGTAGAACACTGAATCCTTAGTGATGTAAATGGTAAAGGGTTCAGGTTGTAATGGAAAGGTTGAAGGTCAGAGTTCACCCAAAGCCTTCTTGGACAAAAGGCCTGGTGAGTTAGTGACTCCCCAAAATCAGTCACTGAAAACCAATTCCACTCTGCTACACACGGAGTCATCATGAGCTGGAATGAACTGACAGCAGTTGGTATTTGGTCTCTCAAGTATACAGCTAGAAGTAAAATCGCTGGGTTACACGGTATGTGCACTGAAATTTACTGTATTAAGTGCAGTCAAGTCAGTTTCGTCAGATAGTGTGTCCTGGTGTAGCTCTGTATAGTCAGTACTAGACTGCGAACCACATGGTCAGCAGTTCAAACACACCAGCCACTCCTCAGAAACCCTATACAGGGCCACTGTGAGTCGGAACCGATATGATGGCACTTAATACAGTAGTATTTCCGAGGAGCTGCTGTTGGGTTTGAATCCCTGACCTCATGGATAGAGTCCAGTGCTTATCCTACAATGCTACACCAGGACTCCTGTACTCTAGATATTACTAAATTGATCCAAGGTGGATTTACTAATTTGTACTCCCACTCACGTTCTTTGTCTCTATATCCTTGCCAACAGCTTGGTATTTTAAAACCTTAAGTTTGGTGAGCCTGCTACTTGTAACATGACACTTCATTACCTGTGAAATTCACAACATTCTTTCCAAGATTTATTGGTCCTTGTCATTTCTGTTCTGTGAATTACCTGGCCACATCCTTTGCCTGACTTCTTTGTCTTTTTCCCTTTTGATTTGTAGGAATTCTTTACATAGTCTGGCAACTAGTGCTTAGTTTGTTATGTGTATTAAAAGAAGTCTGCAACTTGGCTTTTACTGTCAGGATGTTTTAAAAAATCTGAGCTGTGTTTTATAGTTCGTCTTAGTTGATACATGCATACATGCACACATGTATATGACTTTGTTCGTAGGGACATGTGTGAGGTTGGCAGGATCAAGACTCAGGCAAAAGCAAACTCATGGCAGCAGTCTGATCCAGCCAGCCTACCCTCCCAGGGTGTTCACATAAGCTTGCTAAACACCCCTGTCCCCCATCCTGGAGAAACCAGACTGCCTGTCCAAAGCTGCCAGTTTGAGTGAGTTGATTGTTACTGATGCTTTGGATGTGTAGATGTGACCCCAAGAGGGCCCATGGAAGTTGTGGTCACAAGGGGGGAGAATGATAGGCATAAGGTTTGGAATGCTGCCATGGACAGAAAACAAACATGATTTGTGGTTTGGGGTTTCACTGTTTGGATTTTGGCTGGTCAGGCCTTGGTTTCAGCTTGATCAAGTTGAGGCATTCTCTAGCCCACAGCAATTTAAAGAATTGAAACTTCCGTTTGCAGGCCACACTGCTTTTGTTAAATTTTGCACCAGTTCATTATCCTCAAAATGTGGACAGCTGGCTTCCACATCCTTCTCTCTCCTCTGATGCTTCAAATCAAACTCCAGCTCTTTGGGTTTACATGTTGTTGTCAGTTGCCATCGAGTTGTCCCCTGACTCATGGTGACGCCATGCACAACAGAACAAAAGGATGCCTGGTTCTGTGCTGTCTCCATGATGCTGTCCCCGTGATGGAGCCAACTGGTGTCCACTGGCTGATTCAGGGAGTAGATCACCAGGTCTTTCTAGTCTGTCTTAGTCTGGAAACTCTGCTGGAACCTGTTCAGCATCGCAGCAGCACACAGTGGTGGCCGTGCATGAAATGTGTTGACCTGGAATCGAACCTGAGTCTCCTGCATGGATTGCATGAATTCTACCACCGAATCCCCAATGTCTCTGGATTGACATCGTTTTGTGTAGTTTACGAACTCCTGCCGCAGTGGTCTGTGTGTCTAGCTGTTCACTGTGAAGCGTGCAGGGAGGATAGGTTACAGCTGCCATCTTGTGGTTGAGAAAGACCAAGAGATACCTGAGCTGCCTTGTCCCTGATCCTGTAGCAATCTGTGCTGGCGTTGGTGCCCCTGTCAGATGTACATCCCACTACATGTAAGGCAGGCAGGGGTTGAGCTCCTTACCTGAGATCGAAGATACTCTTTCTCCTTGAGGCACGTGGGACCAAGGCAGACATACCTAGGGGAGCTTGTCTAACATCCCACTGACCAGTGGTATGGGTTAGACTTTGTATGCCACAGCTTCTCACATGCCATCTCATTGGATGCTGTAAATGGCAGAGCTGACTCCCTCGATATATTGTCAGTGTAGTCCCCCAGGGCCTTGTGCTTAGGAGGGGCCCAGTGCTCAGTTGTAGCCTCTGCTTTTGAAAAATGGCCCCTACCTCTTTTCAGTTTGCACTGGACCCTGTAAGCTATATAGCCAGTCCTGTCTGTTAACAGAGAGACCAAGGCTCAAAGGGATGAAGTGGTTTGCACAAGATTACTCTGCTAATAAAAGGCAAACTTTATTTATTATTGCTCCTTCATTTATTGCTGTCAGAGCTCCGGGATGAGCCTAGTTTGAATCGTGCTGTAAGGATTATGCGGTGGAGATTCTGGTTGTCATGTGGAGATATGCCTATTTGTTGTTGGGTAACATTGTACTGACCTTACACTAGCTAGTTGTCACACTGTTCCTCGAAAGAAAAGACCATATGTGTATTTTTGAGTTGACATCCCTAAAAGTACTTAGAATGGATAGTCTCAAATGGAAGCTACTCAGGAAATGGCCACTGGTCCCCTGGATTCCTGGACTTGTTTTTTGATTGCAAAGAAGAAATCTAGACCACTGAGTTAACCTTGGTGAGCCAGAAGATAGGTGAGTAATTAAGAGCCTGGTGCATTGTTAAGTAAACTATAGAAAGATTTATGTGGCTCTTGGGACAAATCACATATGTCTTTACTCACTGGGTGAAGAAGGTGCATGGATCCTCAGCTCAGCTACTCGTTCTGACTTTGCCTTTTTGCTGTTATTTTCTGCCATCCACCATTTACCGCTTACTTCTAGAAGAAGTTCACTTTTGTTCCAGATGTGAACTGCTGGCCAGTCTAGAAGTTGACTGCTAAGAGTGAGGCATTGACCTCTAGCCATGCTGGTATGATGACAAGGCTCTAGCACGGTGACTTGGGAGAAGACATGGGGTAGAGTAAGTCTTGCCTAACTCAGTCACTGGTTGGCCAATTTCCCACGATGGAGATTGAGTCGCCATCTTGAATGGTGAACCACCAGCCTCCTGAGTGGGACACACCTGGGCTAAGGCATTCCCTGGTCCCTCAAGGAACTTGCTGGCCTTCCTGATGATTTGTTGTGTTTTCCCTTCACAGCAGCAAATCCCCTGCTTTGCTCCACTGCCCGCTTCCACTGCAAGAACGGCCTCTGCATTGACAAGAGTTTCATTTGCGATGGGCAAAACAACTGTCAAGACAACAGTGACGAGGAAAACTGTGAAAGTTCTCAAGGTAGGAGCCTCTCAAGCTCTAAAAAATAATCACAGCTCAGCATCACAGTTACACTGAAAGGAAGAAAGCACCCACCCGCCAGGCGGGACATCAGTGTTCACTCTGGCTCTTTACCCCATAGCCCTCGCGCATGTGGGTACACGCATTTGTATGGTTTTAGTGGTCACAATTTCCTATGTATTATATATCGTGTATGTTTTCCTTCAAAATCATAAGTTGCTCCAGCTGCATTCCATGTTGCTATCTTGTGGGTCTCGAAATTGCTGCGTTGTCAGGGGCTTGTCAATTCCTGCTTTTCATTAGAGTCTTTCCAGAGTATCAACCCTACCGAGCAGAAGCATCTTGTGGTTCCCAGCTCCTCCTCACCAGACAGTCGTTTGAACATTTCCGTTGACGGTATGCTCATGTTGTCTGTGCGGTAGCAGCAAAGGCATTCTTGGGTGTTCTACTTGGTTTTGTTTTGTATTTCGCTAATTTAGTAGAAGTAGAATGATAGCTTCTCAAATGTTTTAATTTCTGTTTCTCTGATGATGAGTGAAGCTGAGCGTTTTCCCCCATGTTTTTGTTTACATCCATTTCCTCTTGTGTGAATTGTCTGTTCATGTTAGGACTCTTGATGTTGCTGCTGAGTTTTTGAAGTTGAAGGATGCAGCTAAGGGATGGAAGAATGTGCTTTTGTTGGGGATTTAGAAGTTAGAATGTGTGGGGGAAGGCCAGAACTCTCTGTCAAAATTCTTTACTCAGATCATATAGTCCTTCAATGATTAGGAAAAAACACTAAGATTTTAAAATGCATGTCCATTTTAAAGCATCCGAAAAACTATGTATTTCTAGTGTTATAAACTGGTATTTGTATGTAGTAGATTTCATGTTGACTATCATTCAATAAGAAGTCCAGTAGGAGAAGCACTGCACTGCAAACCACAAGGTTGGCAGTTCAAACCTACCAGCTGCTCCTTGGAAACCTTATACAGAGCCACTATGAGTTGGAAATGACTCAACAACACTTAACAACAACATTATCCAAAAATCTTTCATGCAATTTATAACTTTAATAAAAATGTCAAAAGAAAAGTGAAGAGAATGATGGCTAACTGGGTGAGTCATATGTGCAGAGCTCACTTGATAGGGGAGTACCATTTAGTTAGATGTCAGCAGCTTTCGTCTGACTGGGGCATATTAGCAAGAATGACTGGATGAATGAATGAACAGACCACTGCTTTGTTCATATTCAAGGGTCTTTCATAGACCACTGGTGAGAGTAGATCATTGTTTTGTTCTCTAGAGATACAGAAGCTGTGACACACACACACACACACACAAATACACACACATTCATACATACATACACGCATACATACACACATGCGTGTGTGTGTGTCTGGCTCTGGCTTCAAATCACGGCCACATGAGAGTACATCTGCGATTTTTTAGAAGATGATCATCAGGCTTTTCTTCCAGTGTGCATGTGAGTGAACTTGAACTTTTCACATCGTAGCCAAGTGTGTTAACTGTTGGAACCACCTAGAAAAGGAGGAGCAGGGGAAGGGAAGGCAAGGAGAAGAGAAGAGACTTTTGTCTTGTGAAATCATAAGTAAAGATCCATGAAGAGTTACGAGCTGGAAGACAGAAAGACCTGGGAGTAAGAGGAGGACCACAGGACATATTTCTGGGCTAGTATCAAGAAGATCAAGGACCCTGGACCCCAGAGTCAGGGCAGCATTCATTTTATACATTTTACTTTCCTATTTAATCTGCACAGATCCTTTTGTGAATAAATGCCCGTTACCGTCCCCTATTTTCCAGATGCAGAATCTGAGGAACACAGAGTGGTCTTGGCCAAGGCCCCCCATCCTGTAAGTGCTGTAGTCAAGATAGGAACTCAGGTGTTCTGACGTACAAACAGACGTCCCTCCCTCCATCACACTACCATCTGGTTAGCACTAACCTAGAACCAAGAATTCTAGGCAGTCCATCCAACCCTTACTTCTGTGAGCTCATGGGGGTAGCTGAGTATAAAGACGGATATATATTCTCCCTCTGTGCTCAAGCTTTCTTTGAATAAAAAGAGAGCATACAGATGCCTGTCCACCTTCCCACCACATGAGGGACACTTAGAAGTTAAGCTTCTGAACAAGCCACCAATGCCAGGAGAGTTAGTTGAGTGTTTTGGCAGTTAGGTTGCACTTTTTCAGTGTTGCTTCCTGTATCCTGGTGATAAGGCCTGAGGAGAATTGGGAAAGATAGCCATGAAGTTTGGCACCTCACCAGCAGCAGACAGCGACTGTGTGTGTTTATGTAGACATTCATGTCTGTGGGTAGCTGGTCATTCTCAATAAGCCACATTGGGGCTGCGTGCAGACATCAGCCCAGCAGTGGGCTCAGTGCAACAGCAGAAACAGGAGCCGAGGAGAGGCTGGTCAGAATGAGAAAGCAAAGTGAACTGAGGCTCTCTGGCAGCTGCGTTCCACGATTGATAAGATGCTGAGGGAGAATCCCTTGGTAGGGAGAGGTGCTGGTTGGCCTGCTGTATGGAGTTGGCAGAATCATGCTAGGGAACTTGGTGGTACAGTGGCTAAGTGCTCAACCACTAATCAAAAAGTTGGTGGTTTGAGCCCATTTAGTAGCTCCAAGGAGAAAGGAAAGACCTAGAAATCTGCTCTCGTAAAGATTATGACGTAGGAACCCCCCTGGGACAGTTCTGTTCTGCCCTCTAGGGTCGCTTTGAGTTGGGACAATACACAACAGAGTCATGGCTGGGCCTGAGGAGCGCTCCTAGGTTCTATTTTGATATGCTTGTTTTCTGTGTTTGGTATAAAAGCATTCTTCACTCTGTCTCCACAGCAGCCTAGGAACTAGAATCAATGGAGTCAGAAACCCTCCACGCTGCCTTAAAGCCATGATTAAGTCCATCAACTTCTCCAGGCACCTCAGGAGAATCTACTTGGGTCTTTCCGGCTCCAGTGTCATGCCCTAGCTGACCTAATTAGCCAGTGTCAGGCTGACAGAGAGCTGGAGCCTGGATTTACTGTGAAGAGATAAATGGCTACAGGCACAAGGAATTAGGGACAGCCCTGAAGTAAACCTGAGAATTTAGGGAACCTAAGAAGAAGGCCCTTGTAGCTGCTGGGCAAAGGAGCCAACAATTCATGGGTGGCTCCCATGCCTTCCCCCACGATATGGTCCATTCAGGAAATGATCCTCTGTCTCCTGCCCATCAAGTACGTTTGTTTCTCATTCTTCCCTGCCTCCCCATCCATGTCTTGTGTGTGACCAGAGTAAACTTCCCTGTCCCTTGCATTCTGAGTTTCCTCTGGCTGGTAGAGTGTTAGGTGACGTGACAAGAACAGAAGCTTGAAATGGGCTTGGTGTGTGGCTAGAAGAGCATGTTCTGGGAGATATAGGTCCAGGGTGATGCGAAACCAGGACCCAGCCCTGTAGCCTGGGCTCAGGCCCAGCCGAACCCTGTAGAGCCGTGTGTGTGTGTGTGTGTGTGTGTGTGTGTGGTGACTTCAGAAAGTACTTGAAGTTATAATCACCAGACTCGATGCTACAGTAGACCAGAGTGACGAGGGGTAGCAGTAACCCACGGCAAGTCACCCTGGGGATCCTAATTTGGGGAACGTGCATCATTGCTCTGTCATTTTCCACCTCTGCTTGCCTTTGGCCCTGCTGTTGCATACCCCCCCCCCCCCACTCGCCTGGGTCATTGAGAGTGAAAGGAGCTTCTGTACTTGGGAGAGACGTTTGCTTTCTGCTGAAAAATGAAGCCAGCGGACTGAGCAGTCCAAGATCATTTCCAGAGAAATCGTGGAGGGTGTGATATGAGACAAGTGCTAGTCTTAACTTTGCTTTTGAAGAATAAGTTGAAAAGAGCTTTGTATTGAAAGCAAACAACTCACACTTGCAGATAGTACCCACTTGACCTGGCTTCAATGGCTGGATGATCAGAGCTCAACTAGAAGAAGAAAGAAGAGGAAAAAAAGAGTAATCTGATACAATTTGATGAACTTGACCTACACCTATGGATGCAGTAACTCAAAAGAGAGAACAAATCTTTAGAGCGAGGATCATTCCCACCCCCTCCATACACAGAGTAAACAGGGATGGACAACTTGGACATTGGCTACCCAAAATGGGAGGCTACAAAGGCAGGAAATAACTGGCTTACAAGTTTCAAGAGGGAACCTAGATCCAGAGGGCGCAGAGGGAGATAGACTCTCCACTGAGTAGTATCGAATCTGTCTAGGTGGGGCTGATGAAAGGAGATGGGGATAGGTCTCTTGTGATACAATAGTAAATAATTGTTATCAGGACTGACTGTGAGGGTTGGAAATGTAAAGGTGGACGTTTTGTAGCAAAAGGAGGGGAGTGATTGACTTTGCAGTTGAGGAACGGAGGTCCCTGGGACCATCAAGGGAGAAGAGCAGAGAGCGGGACCCTACCCAGAGAAGCAGTGATGCCAGAGATGGAGGCAGAGACGATGACATGGAGAGATGGAGTGGCTGGGGACTCTAGACCCAGAGAGGGAGAAAGGGCTGTGTGCTGATGACCGGGGGTGGGCAGGCTTGCAGGGTATACCCTTTGGTTGGTTGATGATGCATGGAGGGGATTGTAACCATGGCAATGAAACAATATATGATAGGATGAATGTAAAACTAATGTTCTTCCATGTAAACTTCACATAATTCACAATAAAACATTTTTAAAAAAGCAAACAAAGCAACAACAACAAAAATCATGAAAACACACAACACAGAAGTCTGAGTGCAGGGGCTCCAACCCAAACTCACTGCGTAGAGTTTGATGGGTGATCGGTAGTCTCACGACATATGTGGACACTGCACATCACCCTTAAATAATTCATTGAGATTTGCTGAGAATAAGACTGGTGGAGGTAAGTTTAGCAGGAGGGCTGTGGAAGCCTTTTCCCCACTTGTAATCTAAGAGTGTGAGAGCGCAATAGGTCTGGAAAAGGCAGAAATGCTGACTTCAGTCGC